AAAAAAAAAAAGAAAAAAAAGATAAAGAAAAATAAGGCGAAATTTCCCATATAGCATGAATATTGCACGAATATTGCCACAGCATTGCTGCAACATTGCTGCAATATTGCTGCAATGTTCTATGCTGTATGGACTACTACGGGATGTTTCGTGTCAATCGCGGCTCGTGACATATAGCTTCTTGTATAGATATACATGAGTCTCTCCCTCGAGAGAATCCGGAGAGGCTCGACGGGGGCCCGTCGATCTCTCGACCAATCGCGGGGGCCCGTGCCTCTTACGTCGGGATTGTTTCAATGTATTACGATCTCCGTCTCGGCTCGTCGTCGTTATACGTAGATCGACGATGATCTACGTATTTGTTTTTTCTTTTTTCCTCTTCTTTCCAATTTTGCGCGCGCGAAACAATACGAGTACGCGCGATAAATAACAACGGGATAATCTCTGCGACGATGAAAATAATCCAACATGGCGTTATCTCGATCGCGGGCATTCGCATCGAAAAATTCGGTCACTGTCCGACGAACGAAATCCTCTCGTGTAGCGTCTAATAATATCGTATAAACTTCGTTCCGCAACGAGACGCTCGCTCTACATCTCTCGTTTTTAAGGCGCGCGATGCGTGTTTACGATCGATTACAATCTCGAACCGTTTCGTAAATAAAGATATATTTGTATATAATTTGTATATATATATATATATATATATATGCATGCCTGTCGTGTGTGTGAAATCGTACAGATAGGGTGTTGGAAGAAGCCGCCGTAACTTACGATCGCCCTCGAGATCCGAATTGCGTCATTTTCGCTTCCGGAGAGGAGTACTAAATAATATAGAGAAACGACGCAGTTTGTCGGCCGAGTGAAGATCGGTCCCTCTTTCCCTATATATATATGCCTGTCGTGTGTGTGAAATCGTAAGGCATTCTCGGGGCTTCTCCCGAAACGGTCAAGTTTTCGTGAGGTGCGGTCAAGGTAGACACGGGATGATGCAATATTTTTTTCGAAACGCCCAATGAGAATGAGAACGATGAATGGAGGAAGAGAAGGAGATGGAGGTGGGGGTTTGCTTTCACGTACGCTCCCGATAAAGAGAAACATATGGTACTGCGTCCTAGAGACGGAAATCTATAAGAAGAGGAGAAATATTACCCTACGAAACGTTGTTGCGTGCGTTTCGTGAAATGACGCAGTAATAATACAGATCGCGTTTTTTCTTCGTCTTTTCTTTTCCATGATGAATTTTCGATAAGGCTTTAAATTAAACGCGCGTATTTATTGGGCTGAATAAAACTATAAGATTATTATTATAAATAACTTTTTGCTCAATTAGAAATTATTCTTTGACGGAATTTAGTAGAAACTGTGCGATTTCTCTCTTACTTGAAATGTTCACCTTTTTTTCTCGCAGTGAAAAAGACAGATGTTGGACTTTTCCTCAAAGGGTTAGCATAATAACAGCATACATCATTTAGAAATTATAAATATTCCTTTAATCGAAACGCGCGTTTAGGATCTAATATAACACGCAGGCATTAATAACGATGTGTCATTAACGGACACACGAGTATATTTTGATTCCGTCAAAACGCACGACTATCCTTCCTTTCATCGACGATTCGGCTTACAACACGTAAAATTGAGCGCAATATAATTTGATCACGCGGTATCAAATTTACATATCGAAACGTTTACGTCGCGTAAACGTTTCGATATATAAACTCGGTTAACGATGATGTTCCGAGAAATAAATCAGAAATAATTCCTAAGGAACGCGGCATACGCGTAATCGGGGCGTGCGAATCCTCGTGGAATTTTGATGGTTCGAATTAGATCTCAATTCGTAATTATATCTCAACGCGATTATACGAGACACCGCGTGCCTTCGCTTCGCGGAAGTCGCGTAGTTCCAAGAAGACGTCCACGTCTAATTACTCATATATTCGCCCCGATGATCGATCGCTCTATAATATCAGATCGCGCCCGGACGCGCGCCTTATCATTTATCTGTCGCTGTGTAAGTAATATATATGACGCGACATGTGTATCTTGCCCCGACGCAGCTGTTTCGAAAAAATGTCGCTCCACGTGCAATGTTTCTT